TGCCTCAGCCTCCCGAGTAGCTGGGATTACAGGCATGCACCACCAGGCCCCGCTATTTTTTTGTATTTTTAGTAGAGACAGGGTTGCTCCATGTTGGTCAGGCTGGTCTTGAACTCCCGACCTAAGGTGATCTGCCTGCCTTGGCCTCCCAAAGTGCTGAGATTACAGACATGAGCCACTGCACCTGGCCTCAGTGTGTGTTTATACATATAGCACATCTCTATTCTGGCTAGCAGCATTTCAAATGCTCAAAAACTACATGTGTCTATTGACTGTCATATTGGACAATATATCTCTAGTTAGCTTACTTTCAGTTCTTTATGGTGCACTGGTTTTTTTTTTATAATTTTTTTTTTTTTATTTTTTCTGGGTTACAGTGGTTTTGAAAGCAAAAGATTTTTTTTGGTGGAAATGAGGAACCAAGGGACCAGCTGCTATACAAACATTAAAGAAGCTTTTAGAGGAATGCTCATAGTTTCCTTCATTTCTTATGCCATTCTAGCTCTTTATGCCCATAGCTGGGTGACTGAAAAAATAATTGCCTCATTCCTAAGAAATTAGAAGGAAAACAGGAAATTCAGCATGAGAGAAAAATGATTAAGTGACAGATTAAGTGGTGATTGTAAGTGACAGATTAAGTGGTGATTGCTGGGACATGTGTATGTGTGTGTGTGTGTGTGTATATATATATATATTTTTTTTATTTTCTTTTTCTTTTTTCTGAGATAGGCTCTCACTCTGTTACCCAGGTTGGAGTGCAGTGGTGCAATCTTGGCTCATTGCAACCTCCGCCTCCCAGGCTCGAGCAATCCTCCCAACTCAGCCTCCTGAGTAGCTGGGATCACAGCTGTGTGCCACCACACCCAGCTAATTTTTTGTATTTATTTATTTATTTGAGATAGCATCTCGCTCTGTTGCCCAGGCTGGAGTGCGGTGGCATGATCTTGGCTCATTGCAACCTCTGCCTCCTGGGTTCCAGTGATTCTCCTGTGTCAGTCTCCCATGTAGCTGGCATTACAGGTGTGTGCCTCCGTGCCTGGCTAATTTTTGTATTTTTAGTAGAGATGGCATTTCACCATGTTGGGCAGGCTGGTCTCAAACTCCTAACCTCAAGTTATCTGCCTGCCTTAGCCTCCCAAAGTGCTGGGATTACAGATGTTAGCTACCATGTCTGGCCCTTAATTTTTTGTGTTTTTTTGTATTGTAGAGATGGGGTTTTGCCATGTTGCCCAGGCTGGTTTCAAACCCCTGAGCTCAGCCAATCCAACCGCCTCGGCCTCCCAAAATGTTGGGATTACAGGTGTGAGCCACTGTACCTGGCATGGAACATGTATTTAACATATACAAATAAAGAATTGATTATGTTATTTGTTCTTACTTTAAAGCACAGACTAATAATTTCATATCAGGAATTTTTTATATAACATTTCATATGTTAGTAATCTCTTTGAAATATTTTTGTAGCATGGTGCTGATGTCAATGCAAAGGACATGTTAAAGATGACAGCTCTCCATTGGGCCACGGAACACAATCATCAAGAGGTGGTGGAACTTTTAATCAAATATGGTGCTGATGTACACACGCAAAGTAAATTTTGTAAAACTGCATTTGATATTTCAATAGACAATGGAAATGAAGATTTAGCAGAGATATTACAGGTAACTTTTGACTTTTAATTTAAGAACATAAAGAAAAAGAATTATCAGTAGAGGGATCTCTTATATTGTGGATGATTTAAACTATTTTGTTTGTAGCCTTTCATTTTGGGCTTAGTTATTTTGGATAGGCCTTTTTCTCTTTCACTTCCTCTTTGTTTATTACTATTCATTTTCTTGATTATAAGGCCAGTCTTTTCATTAACGTTAGATAAGGTGATTACTTTCTGATTTTTAAGTTTCTAAATTTCCCTGTAGACTTTTTTTTTTTTTTGAGCCAGAGTCTTGCTCTGTCACCCAGGCTGGAGTGTAGTGGTACGATCTTGGCTCACTGCAACCTTTGCCTCCTGGGTTCAAGCAATTCTTCTACCTCAGCCTCCTGAGTAGCTGAGACTACAGGTGCATGCTGCCACGCCCGGCTAATTTTTTGTATTTTTAGTAGAGGTGGTGTTTCACCATGTTGCCCAGGCTGGTGTCGAACTCCTGAGCTCAGGTGATCTGCCTGCCTCGGCCTCCCAAAGTGTGGGGATTACAGGTGTGAGCCACTGCGCCTGGCCCTAGACATTTTATTCTATTATTTTTGTTGCATTTTGATACTATATGATTTTTCCAGGTCTACTATAAATGACTTTATAAAAATTAAAAAATGTATATATTAGCAACTGTAATAACATCCCTTGAGTGAGTGATGCAGTTTGATTTGTTTCTTTTATTTTTCAACATCCTCAAAAAGATCTGCTGTTTTTGGCTTTTGGGAAGATTTTTCTAGTAACTAACATTACTTCTCTTATTTTCAGCCATATGACATAATATAAATTATCTTCTTTAATTAATGCCTCTTCTTGCCTGTTTGTTCCTGATCCCAGCAGTAGAACTCTTCTTTTCTAAGACTGTCTAACTCCTTTGAGCTTTCACTAGTTACTTAAAAGATGTTTTATGTTCAGGAAAATGAATTCTACCATGCCTCTTTCCATTCCTTTTACTCTTACGAGTGCAGTTTGAGGGTTGGAGTTGAAGATGGGGAACAATTAATTGAGAAGGACATGCTTTATATATGTGGTATTATGTATTGCCAAATATAGAAGAAATAATTAAATTTCTATAGCTACAGAAATATTTTTTGTTTGTTTGTTTTGTTTTGGTTTTGGTTTTTTTAAGATGGGGGTCTCACTATGTTGCCCATGCTGGTCTCAAATTCCTGGGCTTAAGCACTTCTCCTGCCTCTGCCTCGTGAATAGCTGGGATTACAGGCACCTGCCACCTCAACCGGCTTGATGTCCAGTTGTTCTTTGTTCTGTTAAAAACCTTTTAGATACTCATTTCTCCTCTCCCAGGATTTTGCTGCTTTACCTAGGAGGGGGACTCGGGATATAAATATATACCCATGGTGTGCCCCTACACTGTCAGGGGACCTTAGACATATATTTCCACTTGTACTATGTGATTATTCTTCGAGAATATTCCTTTACATGTGTGTTTGTATTATATGGAGAATTTGTGCTATATGTTCTGGTTATAATTCTGAAAACACTGTGGTCATTTTTTCCCTAGATTGCTATGCAGAACCAAATCAACACAAACCCAGAGAGTCCTGACACTGTGACAATACATGCTGCAACACCACAGTTTATCATTGGACCTGGAGGGGTGGTGAACCTAACAGGTCTGGTATCTTCAGAAAATTCATCCAAGGCAACAGGTATTGAGATGCATATAGGATAGGCTTTGGGATTTTATGCTTTAGTAGGTATTCATCATTTTAAGAAAGGACTGTTGGAGAACAAGGGTAAGATTCTATCAGCCACCTTGGTTTTCTTTGGCATAACTGGCAAAAAAAATTTTATGAGACAAAACAATCTGAAGAAAGGTGATACTGCAAAATTTACTGCAGTATTACCTTTCAAAAGCTAATGCTATCCAAGCTTTGTTTAAGAGTCAAATAAGGTAAATAGAGTATCAGAAATATGCATTGGATTAAGCTCCTTAGAAATTCAAATCTATTTTCTTTTTTCTTACAGATGAAACGGGTGTATCTGCTGTTCAGTTTGGAAACTCTTCTACATCAGTATTAGCTACATTAGCTGCCTTAGCTGAAGCATCTGCTCCATTGTCCAATTCTTCAGAAACTCCAGGTTAGAAAAGCACGTCTAATGTGTACATTAAAATTGCAGATTCAGGCTGGGTGCAGTGGCTCACACCTGTAATCCTGGCACTTTGGGAGGGTGAGGCGGGTGGATTGCCTGAGGTCAGGAGTTTGAGACCAGCCTGGGCAACATAGTGAAACCCTGTCT